CGTATAAGAGTCGACTGGCCATGGTAGCCTGAAAACGAAAAGGTGAGAAGCGAGCAAGAAACAAAAATAGCATTCAAAAAAGGAAAGCGAGCTACCAGTATCTTAGCCGCGTAGCTGCATGTTAAGGCTAATATCTGGGAGGGAGCCGAGTCCCTGATGGCCACGAATGTTCGCCAGGTGACGTAATCCCTGGCCATCATAGCCCCAACACTGATACGCTCAGGGAGTTGGTTGATCAGAGCATCAACTTCAGCCTCGGTCACTTCGCCCGTCTCCCCATCTTTTGGCTTAGACTGGCCAAGTCTATTCCCCCCTAAAGTAGTTGTCGCACCCGTAGAGGCAGACTTCTTCTTGGTGTCGCTTTTAGTTGCGCTTTTTTGAAGGCTGCCAGTATACGTGGTGACCTTTTTGCCCGAGCCCCTATGAGGCTCAATCACCTTCTTCTTCCTTGAGCCATCATGCTGCTCAGGTGCTTTACCTTTTTTTCGAGCCTACAATTGGCTCGGACGTCTTTTTCTCTAGCACTTTAGGGGGTCCGGTGGCGCTCTTCTCACCAATTGCCTTAGAGGCGATTGCGACGGATTTCTTCGTGCTTGGGCCCTCTGTAAGCTCGCCTTTGGCACACTTCATGCTAGTAGCATCCGCATGTTGTTTTGTCACCAAAGCAAACAGCACCTTCTAGGCAGTTACCGCCATCGCCACCATTTTCTTCTTAAGGCTCTTGGGTTTTTTAGCCCACAATTCTGTAAGGAAAAAGGGAAACGAGTTAGCGATTAATTTGCGCGGGAAATCAAACCAGAGCAAGCAACAACTTGCCTTTTTCCAAGAGCGCTAAAAATCTGGCCTCATCCCTACAAAAGTTGTACACCTTTAGACGAGGAAGCGTAAGCATCTCGTGGACGTTGCGTGAACTGTCAGGAAGATTGCTGAAACGCTATAGCCTTTGCAAGCTCGCCGTAGGGAGATAGTTTTACTCAACGTTAACTACAATAGAAAATAATGGGGTTAGATAATGAAGCAAAGCTCGAAATTTTTCCTCGCGTACGCGAGCAACCAAAGCCTTACTCGTTTCCAGAGCGAAGACACCGCTCATCCCAGCTTCGTAGAAGAAGAATTGGGAATTCCAATGTGGGACCTTCTTCGGGACATCGATCAGCCCGTTGAAACGTACTTTCCTCGCCTTGGAAAGATAGTACGTCTAGCCTTGCCCCTTTTTGAGCCTATATAAGTGTACAAGCTCTTCAATGGACGACTCGCCTAGCTCAGCGATCATGTATGTGATGTATACCCCGGTGATGATCAAGTAGGAATTGGCCATCAGTTGGAGAGGAGCGATGTCGAATCTCCTCAACACCTTATCGATGAAAGGGTGAAAGGGAATGGATACCCCACACCTAAGAAAAGTCTCGGAAGTTGCCACCCATCTAGTTGGAGGGTTCTTCCGAGAGTGTTCTCCTGGGGCCATCAGGTTGAGCTGCGGTGCATAGGCCGCCTAATGCATTCAAGATCCTTGAGGGTGATTGAGGATTGTGGCTCTTTTCATAGCCTGTGAACTGGAGACGGCGGGGATTGAGCCAGTTGGATCGAAGCACGATTGGACAAGCTCGCAGCGTCGGGGTCTGAGCTTCTGGCAACAAACTCTTCGGATATCTCAGGGGACACGTCCTCTAGTACTACCGAGCCAACCAGTGAATTGAACATTGGATCTATTGTGCGACTGCTAGACGAGAACATGGTTATAGCCCAACTCTAGGTACCTAAAAAAAGAAGCGAACATGTGTTAGAGCTTGAACAACTCGATGACAATTCCACATTCGCTTCCATCTCAGGCACCCAAATAGCTCGTGCAACACAACTAAGTCACGCGACCTACCCAGGACACCAGCAGCCACCACGATTAAACCCTTTTAAAACCCAAGACCATCGGAAACGCACCCCAAAAATCCTACTAAAACCTTAAAACAGATAAATGAGTAAGGAAGAGAAAGAACTGTTACCAGAATAAAGGAGAGCGTTGAGAACTTGTAAGAAAGACCACCGTGAACACGTAAGAGCAACGGCAAAGAAAAGCAAAAGGGTGAAAAAACTTTTAGAGTGGTTGTTCTAAATATTTGCCACCTTTTATAATGATTTTTGCATGGAAGACGAAAAGGCGAATTTCAATCTCGACCGTCGACTCACAACTGATCCTAGCCCTTCATTCGTTGAGCAATCTTAGCCCCTGGACGCGGTCACATGTCGACCATCCACGAGGTGCGACGAACCGCTAGAAATGATAATTGTCACCACACGACGCTTCGACTTCGCGCGTGAACAGTTGTTATCGCCTACGTACGATGATATGTAACTGACAAAAGCTGTCGCATTTAATGCGACACGACCATGCAAAAATTACATTTATACCCTGACTTTTTGTATTCTGAGTTTTGACAGGTGGCACTGGTAATAATATCCAAATATGAAGAACTTCGACCAGATGTAAGGTCAATCGTGGAAGCCCAATCGAGCATGCACTTAGAGACTCACTATTGAAGCTAAGCTTGGTGTCAGATCAAGTGATAGTCTTCAAAGCCCAACGAGTATTGAACACTAAGGGCAGATGTTGTGTGTGGTTTTTTCGCCAAGTTCGGGCCAACGCAAGAATATAGCTCGGCTTAGAATGACCTCGACGACTATGATTGATTGACCCAACACAAGCTAGTTGCGGACAATCTCAGGAATTGATCAATCAATCTCCAGATTACTTCAGATCCCGGATATCGCAGGAATGACTGGATTAATAGCTATCATTGCACGATCATAGCGCTCAATCGCAAGGATATCGGAATTGTGATTCAAATCATTTGTAATCCCCTTAATTTCACTCTTTCTTTTATGTAAATCTTGTATATATACCCCCCTAAAACAATGAGGAAGGGGATACGAATTCTAGATTAAAACTACATTGTAAGCTCTCACAGCATATAAACAAAACACAGTGGATGTAGGCAGTTAACTTCGTCGAACCACTTTACAAGTTCTCTTTGTCATTTACTTTCTGGCATTATCATTCACTCATCACTGATTACTTGTAATCACGCCCACATCAGTTCCGATCTTGACAAGGTCAATCGGATCTTAATGGTTGGTACAGATTCCTGTATCAACAATAGACATTTACCACTCCAAATGACAAATCATATATTGATTTAATTATTAGTATTTATACAGAGTTAACGATTTTTTTCCATCCAAATAACGGCTTGCTGACACTTTCCCACTCATAGACTTTAAAAATACCACTTTACTACTTAAATTTATATTTTGCAGGTGAATAAAGTGCAAACTCAATCCAGACTATTGGAGCTTTTGAAGAGGGGAGGCCGATGAGTCTTCTGGTGGCGTAAGGTTGGATTTTGGTGGTTGAGATTGATTGAAATTTGACTTGGGAGGGATGACTATGCAAACACTCATTGCTTGATTGTCAACGATTGTGGGGTCGATGAAAGTAGGGTTTGAGGGGTTTTGGTGAGTGATTATTGGAAAAGAGAATGGTGTTAGTGTGGGATTACAATGATGCCAGAATCGAAAATAGAATATAAATTTTGGTAGTAAAATGGTATTTTAAAAGTCTGTGGATGGAAAAATGTCATTAAACCATTATTTGGATAGGAAAAAGTTAGTTTACCCTATTTATACACCCAGTATGCTTTACTGAAACTTTTGAATAATCGAATTGAGTATAAAATTACTCAATGAAAAATCCTTTTCTGTCATCAATAGTATATGCAAGGGAATTTTGTTATGTTCTCTAATTTATGCCACATTCACAAGATTCCCAGGAATCAATTCAATTTGCAGGTCTTTTCACATAACCAAAAGTTTAGAAAAAAAATTTGGGTATGTTTGTTTTATTATTTTGGTTAGGATTTTTGAAAAAATTGAGTTAGGTGGTTATTACGAAGTAGAATTTGAAAATTAACAAAAATATTCTCCTAGGTTTGTTAATTTAGCTAAACACTCTTACAATAAAACATTGAAAATTAACAAAAACGCTCCCACCCACCCATTAAATGCCGGCAGTTGGCCACCACCATCGAAGGGTGGCTGACAGTTGCCATAATGGTGCACGACCAGTTAGATCTGGCCAATCGTACGCTGATATGGCATTTTCCGGCCAAATCTACGGTGAATCTTGCTAGAAAATGCCAAATCTAACAACGTTTAGTCATCAACGACGGCCAGATCTCTGGCTGTTGTTGACAACCAGGTACGGCCAAAGATCTGGCTACCTTTTCCGGCCAGATCCACGATAGGTCTGGTCAGAAAAGGCTAGATTAGTGCACTACCAACCAGATCCAGCCGGTAGTGCGCTGTTACGCCAGATTTCGAACATCTTTCGACGGTAGTGACCGAAATCTGGCAAATGTGGGTAGGTGGGGGTGTTTTTGTCAATTTTTAAACCTTTTTTTTTTTTTATTTAGTTAAATTAACAAACCTAAGGGGTTTAAAAATAGTTGAATAAAATAGAATAGGATTTTCAGAATAGGGAAACAAATATGTATTTTGGGTAGAATAAAATAGAAATAAATAAACAAACACAACCGAATTTTGTCATAATGAGGCATACAAATAAGGGTTTCTTTTAAGGATCATACTGGCAAATTGAAGACGCAAAAGGGTATTACATAACGTATATCTTTATGTTTGAAGGCCTCACTTGCCTTTTCTTTTGTGTTTAATTTTCTATTTTGGGAGTTATTTTTAAATTGACTGAAATATTAAGTGCACCAGAGTCTAGAGATACCAGACTCTTTTTCTTCTTTAATCTGCGAGAAGTATTTGCATACAAATATTTTCTTAGTAATGGATCTTATTAGGCTGTGTAGTGTTTGCTTACAATTAGATTCACCCAATCAAGGGTCATAGGCAAATGATTATATTACAAGAGGGCATTTGCATTCCAACAGCACATTTGTTTTTATGCTACTGCCAGATTAAAATATAGAATAAACAAACAAACAAACAAACAAACAAACAAATGGAGAAATTTTCTAACCTTAGTGATACATTTGTTTATTTTTCAGATATGCAAAGAGTAGAAAATCATCAAACTGGAAAGGAATTCGGACGAATTTGGCATGCTGGATGCTGGAGGAGAAGAAATACTGAGCTTGGTATCATTGAAGAGATGTCCCATTAGTCGACCAAAGATGGAAGAAGAGTACTTCATTCCAGGTATCAGGGACTCCTGGCAGACACCAATGGCTACAATCTGGAACCAATGGATTGTCACTCCAAGTACCCACATGAGCATCACTGCGGAATGCCCCCATTGGTGTAACATGCAAAACTGTCACAGGGGCTGCCATTTTCTTCACCACGTTGATTATGATGTCTGAAATTGGACCGCGATCCCTCCCTTTAGTTCCTGATGAAGGCCGTCGAGTCACTTTGCAAGAATTACGATTCCGACCACTAGAACAATGAACAAAAAAGTAATAGTTGTTACTCATGTATAACTAGTTTTCATTTCAAGAAAATATTATACTGATTAAATATATGTCAGAATACAGGACTGGGAGGCTGGGAGCCAAGTTCTATAAAAAATCTTTAAGTAAAGATTTTACTTGAATTCCTTCAATCATTCTAGCTTTCCTGACCATATGACAACAACAACACGAACTGGATGTTTCAAGATTGTTGAAAACTATCAATTCTTGGTATAGTTTTCTTTCTCCATAATGTGTTTGTTCTAAAATACACTACTGCAGAGGCAGATTTCTCAGTTTTCCAGCAGACCCAAGTCCTGTTGGTTGAGGAATAATTAAGTTAAACCTCCAACAAGCAAGTAATAAAAGTTTTTTCCTTCATCAAGTAAGGCAGCCTGTCACATCATTTCTTGACACAAAATCAGTGTTCCCTCACAAGTTCTCTAGAGTGGTGTGGGCTACACCTGCAAAATTTATGAGATACTCCACCGCTACCATACATGGATCAATATCTAAAGTTGAAGAGTTTTTCTTCCTTTTCCAACATAAAATTTAACAAGGTGCCCTTTAATAATATTAAACCATGATGTAGTAGTACGCTGTTATGTGTCAAGAGATAAAAGGGTTCACCTAGGCCACAATTATCAGCAGCTACTCAGTTCGGCATGTGAACAGAGTCATGATCTCACTTTCAGCTTAAACAGTCCAATGCAACCAAAAATGATTTAGTACAATTGGGTAATTATTGAAACAAACTTTGATAATAATGCATTAAGAATCTTGTTAGGCTACTATGAAAGAAATTGGCATCAAATGAAACAACTAAATAGATAACACACCTCCAATGGGATGATTCAAATGTCCGAAAGAATATGCTTGTTCTATTTGTGTTGACCATAGTCTCAACCCAAGATGCCCAAGTGTCTAATGCTGCTCTGAAGGCAGTATTGGTTGGCATTCCAAGTTTAAGCGATCCATTGACCTGAAAGTAGCAGCCCCTGTCTGAAAAAACTTGTTAGGAACAATATGCATGCATAATCGTAACTGCAAAATGTAGAAGCTGAAAATTTGCAGTAACAAAATCATGGCAAGACTATTGTAGAATTATACCAATGTAACAGATGTTTCCAAACACGCACACACACAGTATCCATTAGACTTCCACGCCAAATAACTACATTTTAGTACCTATACATGAAATTGGCTTAAGATGGTTATTAAGTTAAGATGCATTGGAAGCTTTGTTTTACATGCGTTTGTCAACATCTAGAGTGAAAGTCATTATGTCACATTCAAGTAGAATCATAAAGCACACTCACAACCAAGAGCTTATGAATGGAGTCATAATGCAAACGAAAACCATAACAGAAACAGAAACTAATATGGCACACATTAACAATGAAAATAAAAGCTCTGAAACCAGGCAACTTACATTTCAAAAAGCTTAGTCCGTGTCCACCAGTGCCCTGAATTAAATATCAAAACATCAGCATCAATCCACTCTTTGCTAATATCATCCAACTTGTCAAGTTTAAGTGTTGACTTAACCCTCTTTGGGGCACGCTTTGGCACTGGCCCAGGCTGAACCAGAAAAACTGAACGATAGAAATCAACACTAATATTATACGAACTAAATCGAACACCTAAAAACCTAATCTGTTTCGTGATTTTATGTCCATTAATTTCATAAACACTCTTCTTATCCTCCACCCCTGTCATGAGCATGCATATCATTGACTCCCACTGCGTTCTGCTTAGTGAATCACCAACAAAAACTACTCGTTTCCCACGAAGCTTTTGAAGCATTTCTTGCACATTAAACCTCAGAATATCACAATTCTTCGGCTTCCACCTCCATTTTGTATAACCAATATCTTTTCGCCCATTAGCCAAACAATTAAATCCCCGTTCCGCAAAGGGACAAAGGGAGGAATTGTACAAAGGGTAACTTTCGTCTTGGATCCACCTCCCTTCAAAAACATTGCATTTACCAACTGAACTACTTGCCTTAGGAATCTCATACTCTTTAATGACCGGTTGAAATAGGGGAAACAAATATAAATATGCACATATCATGGCCAAAAGGAAGGATATCAATGAACCAGTAGCAAGTCCATTAAATGATTGAAAAATCCAAAATTTACAGTGACCCTTTATTATTTTGTTGTAGAAAACGAACACCTTTGCGTAAATAGATCTAAAATGACCAACCATCTCCTTCATTTCCACCCAAACTGCACATCAACATATACCTAAAGCCAAATCTACATTAAAAATCTAATAAAATGCACACACTTGAGCATAAACAGATCAACCAAGCTTCAAATCAAGAAATGTAATGACATTGATCATAGAACAGACTCACCAAAGACAGAATCTTTAACAAACCATTTCTTCAAGCAAATGCCACTACACTTTTTAGGTACTAAAAGTAATGAGAAATCTTACAAATTTCCAAGTGGGTTTTGCACAAAAACAAGCTCATAAGATGGAGAAGCTTGCAGGTTAAGCTCAGGAGCTGGTTGAACATAGAAATGGTTCAACTTTGAAGGGTCAAGATTGAAGAGAAATGATGTAACAATAAAACGGTGGGTTGTATCCAACTACTTGGTTGCTCAGAAAGTGATCTGTGAACTAATAAAATCAATCAAATATTCAAATAGCTTCAGGAATGTCGGTGGATTTCTGAAAAGAATATTAAAAAAAAAAAAATTGAAGACAGTTAATTTATCGTTGTCCGTCAGAGTGTACGAAAAGTCAGATAGTGAGATTAAATTAGAGTCTAAGTTAATCAGGGTTTTTAATGTTGTTTTATTTCTAATTTGGTGGGTGTTTATCAACAAAATCCTGGTTTGAGACCAGTATTTCCTTCGTACTTTCGTGAAGCTGAAGATTTTGTTACCGACTGTCAGAACCAGTCTTCACATGAGAGACACATTCACCTTGTACTTTTTGTTGCAGAAACCTTTTATATATATATATATATATATATATATACACGCTACAAAATCATTATTTATATCGAATTTTTATATTGTTATCTAATTAGACGCAGATAATATTAATTTTGTGTGAATAGACGGTTGTCTAATAATTATAAACTTTTATTCATATTTAATAGATAATAGTTTACCACGAATAGATAAATGTCTACGAAAATAATAATAGACTCACCTCTATATTATTTGAATGAAAGCTTATCTACTATGGACGATACCCACCTCATATAGATGCTCATCCATGTAACAGGATAAGTGTCCATCACCAATTCACCATCTACAGTATGACCGGCGTCCATTTTGGGGTTTTATTTTCTAGGCACTTTTTAAGTGTAGTGGGCATAGCAGGAGCACATTTGATGCCCCACCTTCAATGTTACAAAAATGCTTGACTTTGGACGGACATCCATTGTTTCGAAGTCACATCAATATGTTTATTTTCTAAGATTTTTTTTTTAAGTATAGTTGGCAGAGCAATTAGCAAGAGCATTCAAGTGACCCACTCATTTTAAATAAATAATTTGACAAGTTCTGTTCTAATTGGAAATGGACGTCTGTCCATAACCTCTATTATTGTTCTTTATAATTTAATTTATGGATTGTGTACATTTGAGGTGGATACCCATCTGTAAAAAATAGACTATCGTCCATTCAATATGAACAATAATCTATTATTATTTTAGTATAACAATTCGTCCTAATTAGTAATCAGTCATCTATTCATGATAAACGGTTATCTATTCATGATAAATAGTCATCCATAAAATATGGACGGATGTCCATAATTGTTGGACAATCGTTCATTTACAGAAGATATGTTTTATCTCTAACATGATCGTATCTAATTGGATGTCACGTCCTTCGATACAAAAAATCAATGTCATATATATATTAACTTAAAGATTTTTAAATATAAAATTAATTGAAGAATTTATGATTATGTAAGAATTTCGTATATTAGATTTTGTTATAAATTTTTTAAGTGGTATAATTTATAAAATCTGAGATTATAATTGGCCTATGCTATTTAACTAAAAGATTAATATATTTTGTTTAGCAGTGACTACTTAAATGTAGGTTAACTTTAATTATGTCAATAGACACTACTTCATTAATAAATAAATAAGTTAAAAATATATAAATAAGAGTAATGCTGGCTTTACTACTCCTTTTTACTCCTTTCTCTTACTCACTCATGTGGTAAGTGGGTGTAAAAAGAGAGAGAAGGGAGTAAGAAGGGAGATTAATGTAAGTGAGTGAGAGAAAGGAATAAGAAGGGGGGAGTAAGGCTAGCATTATTCTATAAATAAATTAATAATTTGAGTAGGTGGAGTGGATCAGAACCAGTGGATGGATTTAGAATCCCCATTGCCATCCCATTTATTAGTTTATGATCAATTACTGATTATTTTGACTCTCCATTTTCTGTTATGTTCAAGGCTGGATTGGACCCTCATGGACAAACGGGTACCCTAAACCCTAAATCCTCATTGATATATGGGTATCCTAAACTCTAAACCTTAAACCTTAAAACAAAGTTATCTTCTTAGATATTCCTCAATAAGATCATGCAAAAGTAAAGTAACGTATGTTGTCCACAAGATACAAAGAATTAATTAATGTTGTTTACAATAATCACAAACAAGTTAAGTATAAATCATTTGAGCATCGAACATGCAGAATATCAACTCAACATAAATCAGTGATATGATATCAAATAACTACAACTTGATTTAACTTCAGGAAACAAGAATTTCATTCCTACAATCAATCAATTGTATGGAAAAAAATTAGGAAACTTTTCTTCATTATAAAGGCCCCATGGAATTCACATCAGCTTGGGGGAAGTTAATCCCAAAACTCAAAAGCTCAATCTGATGAATCATAGGCCCAACTATTTATCTATAAATTATGTCATCAATCTCTATGTCCTACTCACATTGCTTATCCAGCAGCATATCTCGGATGGAATTCATCAAACTCTGTTCATATTATAATTCTAGTGCTGCTTCTATCAACCATCTTCCTACTAGTAATGCCACAACCCACTGTACCAATGATTCATGCTAAAAATAATTAGTAGAAGACCTTATTGTGAAGAAGATAGATAATGTCTTCTGGTGCTCCTCTTCCCACCAAAATTGAGAAGCCAGAATTAGTGATAAAAAACTAACTCCAAAATATGCTAGGCTGTCCATTGCAAAGCGATCCTTGGCTTCCAGGTCCCTTGACTTTGACTGCCACGTTGTAACTCCCCAGCAACTTACTTTAATTTAGCATAGGTCATTGAGTCCATAGATCTCGAGTATTATAATGCTGAGAATCTCTTCAGCAAACCAGTACAAGCGATTTAATATTCAGACCTCTAAAATCTCGGGTCTTGACTGCTGATCCCCTTGCCATCAATACATGCCTCATACAGCATGCATTAAACTGAATAATGAATAATAGTTTCACATCTGCTCAAGTAGGTAGATTGTAATGAAAATCAAGGGTCCCCTCACATTTCATCATGCCAAAAAGATTCAATTTCAGGGAGATGGCGATCCTTTTTCATTAATTCTGTCAATTCCTTCAGAACTGCACGAATATCATCTGAATTAGGATGACATGTATCCCCTGCAACAAACAAGTTTGTTTCCTGTCCTACAACAATCCAGCTACATCCAGGCAACTTTTTCACTCCTTTTTCTCTCATTTCCCTCCTCAAAGTGTTAACTTCACTCCATTTTCCTGATGCAGCAAATATATTAGAAAGCTGCACATACGGAGAAGAATTTTGGGGTTCCAAATCAATGAGTTTCTTGGCTGCCCACCTTCCCCTTATATCATCTCCATGTATCGCACAAGCACCTAGCAGTGTAGCCCAAATTTTAGCATCAGGTTCAAAATTCAGTTTGTTGATGAATTCCTCGGCCTCTTTAAGAAAACCCCTCGCCAAACAAGATCAACCTGCAGGCACAATGATCTACTCTAGGGTGATCCCGTAGCAGTTTACCATAATGTCAAAGATCTGTCGACCTTCGGATACCTTACCTGCATGGCTCATGCTGTTAGGACACCAAGGAATGTGCATCATCAGCATAACATGAGTTTGCTTCTCTCATCAAAGATCTTAGTGCATCTTCTGCATGACCATTTTTTGCAAATCCAACTATCATGAGTTCCAGGAAATAACAAATTTTTGTTCCCCATTTCACCAAAACTTGAACTGCACTTTTCCATCTCCACATTTAGCATACATGTCTACAATTGCACCACATGTTACTCATCTAAATCATAACCAATGTGAAATTTAGAGAATGGATCTCTGTACCATCTCTCAAAGAAGATAAGATAGCACATCTCTAAGACACTGACAAATGTAGCCTGATCAGGTATGACATTGGCTACGCATTTCCTGATAGAAATGCAAGGCCTCCTCATTGAAATCATTTTGAGTGTGTCCTGAAATAATAGCAGTCCATAAAACTTTGCTTTTTGGATTTTTGAACTCTGAGAAGAAATACTTGCATCTGTATTTCTCTTGGAATTCTATACATACCCAATAGAGAGACACCCAAGAAGTCAGCATCATACAAAGGCCTCTCTTTACTAAGACAGTGGATTTGTGTTCCCAGATTAAATGTATGATGTCCTTCACATGCATCTAGAAGACTAGCAAAAGTTATTTCATTTGGGGTCAATCTTTCGCCATCATCTCCTGATACAAAACATGGCTTCCTCTAAATTATTTGAGCATAACCAGCAACCAAAGCATTCATGGGACCACATCCGTTCAGCATACAAGAGAGGACTTTTCGAGCAGCCCCTATATCTCCACACTTGGCATACATGTCAATAAGCGAGCTTCCCGAATAAATACTTGTTTCTAGACCAACTTTGACTGCATACAGTGTATCTGTTTCCTTGCTTGAGAACCTTGAGCATTGGCACAGGCACGGAGGTGCTGGCCAAGGACACTTCATCAGCAAAATCCAAGATAAATTCATTCTGCGAAACATATTAAAAGCCTCAAACTCATCCCCTTCCTGCACACTATCCAACAATAATTGCTTCCAAGAAACATGATCCTATTCCTTATGCGCTCAAATTGTTGTCTTGCTTCCTTCAGAGCACCTGACTTAGCATACATGTCAACCAATGCATTCCCCACAAATAAGTTAGATGCAAAGTTGTTCTTGATAATGACCGTATGCAACTGGCGACCCTCTTCCAAATAGTCCAGGCAAGCACATGAACTCAAAATGCTAGTATAGGTAAAGTCATCAGCCTGAAAACCAGAGCTCTTCATGGTGGAGAACAGTTCCACCACTTCATGGGCATACCCATTCTGTGAATAACCTCCAAGCATAGCATTCAACAGACAATATTCCTTTCATCCAAAGAATCAAAAACCTTCTTTGCGGACTCCACTTTCTCACACTCTGGAATACATATTTATCAAAGAACTCCCCACATAAACATTAGAGTCGAGACCCTGTTTAATAGCCTCAGCATGACTATCAAGCCAAAGTCAAGAGCTGCTAAACCTGAAATGGCACTCATACACTGCCTAACGTGGATCGTGAGGTTTAACACTAGCTTTCCTCATTCTTTGAAAAAATTGACCGCTTCTGCCTCATACCTCTCTTGCCATGCCCAGATATCATCACATTCCAAGCTACAACATTCGGGTTTTGCATCTGATCGACAATTCACATGCTTCATCAAGCCGACCGTAGACTACACACCGCATTTATCACAGTCACAGAAGCCACCTGGTCCGAACTCGGCCAAGTTTCTTCATCTCATCAAACACTTCCAACGCAGCTTCGGGCAAACCAGCCTGAACATACCCAGCAATCATTGATGTCCACGAAACCGTATCCAAATCCACTGCCCTCAAAAACCCTCCTTG